CACTATAGCGCACTATTTTCTCCCCACACAGCAGCAACACAGCGAGGTGGGAGCACCATCATGCGCACCAAGGCAGCCACATGTGGGCTGCGAGAGCATCCCGGCTAGCCTTGGTGGTGCTTGGGTGTCTTTTACCTCAATTTGTGTGCTTTTGACTCGGGATTTTAATCCCGATATTCGTGTGACAAAAATTAATTCTAAATTTATTTTAGAATCAATTTAGAGCATAGAGAAAATATAACAAGTCTAAATTAAATAAATTCAATTTTAGTAGTGCACATGCCTAAATTATTCAAGAACCATTCTTTGAATCAATTTTAGGTCTAACTTGATGCAACAAAATTGAAGGGCTACATCCATAATTAATTTAACCAAAATGCAAATTAATAATGGATTTGACAAATGGGAGTTGGAAAAATAAATTAACCATCTAATGATAAAAATATCAAGATTACATCTTCCAATATGAAGTTTAATCAAATTTTACTCACAAGCATTTGAACTTCATGGATTTTAATCAACCAAACATGAAAAATCCAAACTTTGTTCAATATGGAATTAAGGGTTAGAGTTCCAACCATTTAAACTTTTAAAGATTAGAACTTTAACATACTTGGGAACTTAAAAATACACATTCACATCAAACATTCACACATTAATGCAATTTATTTGCATAATTGTGAAAAACAAGTTTATGTGAAAAAGGCATATCAACTTAAGCACTAATTAAAACTCCATAATTATGCTTAAGGATAATTAAAATAGCATTAGATTAGGGATGCAATAATGCATTTAATCTAACCTTGTAATGCTTGTATTAATCAAGGCTTAAAAGATTTAAAATTTTTGTTGAAAAACGAAAAACCCTAGAAAAAATGGGTTTCTGGTTCAAATTTGGCTTCTGGACAGTCCTAAAAGTGTTTAATCTATTCCACAATGTCGATTCCACCATAAAATCACTATTTTTGAGCCAAAATCTAGGTTCGACAGCCAAATCGATAAAAACTACGAGTTTTAAAATTTATTAAAACGAGCTTCTAATCTAATTAGAAAAGCAAAACTAGAAATTGAATCTTACTTAAAACACCTTAATTAATAAATAATTGCAATAATTAAAAGGAGCGCTGCTCCGATACTGCTGTAGGGTTTCGTAGTGACCCACACTACGTGGAAAGGAAACCCCCAAGACCCGCCCTGATAACTACAGCAATTAAAACAAGCATAACATAATTAAGCAATAATTAAAAGAAGAGAGAAATAAATTATACCCTCGATGCGTGCTTCGCTCGCAAATCGAGCTCTTACTTCGAAAGCTCTAGCCTCGCAAGTGCGACGGCCTCCAACAGAGTCCACCCTCGAGACCCGACCCGAACGGCCCCTACCCCGAAGGTTAGTCGGGGCTAGACCAAGAAAGACAAGAGTATTACGAACTTAGAGGTTTTCTCAACTTAAGGGAGATTCCTCATGGAGTTCAACTCAAGTGGTTTTTCCCAAAATCCAAACTTGGGTATTTATAGGGAAAGGAGACTTGAATCTCCCTTCTCCCATCCATGTGGGAGAATTGCATTTTTCTATTAATTTATTTTAATAAAAAACAAATTAATGAGTAGTGCAATCAATGAGTTACAAGTGTTAAATGGAGGAAGAGTGATTAGGTGAGGACCATTTCAAGAGGAGGGGACCATAGCCTTGGTGCCCAAGGTAATGGCCACCACCTTTGGTCGCCACACACACAAGCCGGATCCTCCCTATCCAAGTGGCTGGCTGGTAGCCTACCTTGGCTGCCAAGGCTGCTAGCTGGCGCCTAGCACCAAGGCTGGGCAGCCTGGCCAGCCAACTAGCACACACGCATGCATGCGCAGCCAGCCAGCCAACACGCAATGCTACACTGCTGTTTGGTGCATGGCGTTGGGCGCTGCTATGTGAGGCACACGCACAGCCCAGCATGCCTAGCACGCTGCTGGCTGGTGCGTGCTGCTTGTGGTGCTGCGTTGCACTAGGCTGCAAAAGCTATGTTGCTGCTGCCAGGCCTAGCATGCTAGCAAGGCTGCTAGCGCCCAGCATCATGCACAGCATAGCATGCTGCTATGCGATGATGCGGGGCTGCCATGGCTAGCTAGCATCATGAGCCTAGCACTCACATGGCTAGGCCTATGCAAGGCTACGACTAGGCACATACTTGTAACTCGATTGATTTTACGTCTCGTCGAATTCTAAATTCGACTCGACTAGCAACGCTCGATCTCGACGCTCTAAGCTCAATATCCGAAGTCTTTGTTCGTAATGCTCTAACGACTCATCTAATCCTTCGGATTGATTCGTCACCTCGGATCGGTTACTCGATTGGGTGTGACCCGAAGGGTCTAGTCAAGATTAAGCTGTAATATTAATTGTACATTAATATTACTAATCGGAAACGGCCTCCACCTAGACATTCCGATCACTTGACCTTACTAAAGAATTAGCTTTCCAAAAACTCAGAAAACCTCTATCGGAATAATACACTTGTTGGAAGGACACCATTCTTTTCAACATTAACTTGCCATAATTAATCAGGGTTTAAATATTTAAAAGTTTTCGTCAAAAACAAAAAACCCCTCGAAAAACATGTTTCTGGTCGGAATTTGGCTTCTGCACTACCCACATATAGGATTAAAACTGATTTAGAACATCGATTCCACCCAAAATTCACTACTTTTGGGTCAAAATCTGGGTTCTTTAGCCAAAATTAGCATTAAAACGAGATTAAAACTAATTAAAACGGGCTTCTAATCTAATTAGAAAGCAATACCAGAAATTTAAATCCATTTAAATCACCTTAATTAATTATTAGTTACAATAATTAAATAAGCGCGGCTCCGATACCGCTGTTGGGTTTCGTAGTGTCCGACACTACGAAGAATGAAACCCTCCCAAAATCCGCACACAAATTAAAGTAACTAAACATGCATATTAATTAACAATCACATATTTAATTAACAAAGAGAGATAAAGAAAGAAAAGACGATCATACCCTTGATGCGTGCTTTTCTCTTTCTTAGATCTTGTACTAGAAAGCGTAGAGCTTCGCAAATGCGGAAGCCTTCAATGGCTCTCACCCTCGAGCCCCAACCCAAACAGCCCCTACCCCGAAGCTTAGTCGGGGCAAGACCAAAAGTACTTAGATTATTAGAATGAAAGTGTTCTCGCTTGTGCAGATCCTTTCAAGTTCACAACTCAAGTGCCCTTTCCCTATTTCAAATGATTGGTATTTATAAGGAAAGGAGCCCTTGAATTCTAATCTCCCATCAATGTGGGAGTGTTGGTAAAAAGGCATTTATTCAATTTATTTTAATTCAAAAATCAAATTAAAATGCAAATGAATCAACAAACAACAAGTGTCAAGTGGAGAGTAAGTGGCTAGGTGAGGACCACAAGGGGGGGTGGGTGACCATCCTCCCCTTGATCCCCAAGAAATCCTACAAACCACTTCATGCACACGCCCCACACGCATCATCCCAGCTGGCGTGGCCTGCCTTGAGCGCTAAGGCTACCCCGCTGGCTGCCTGGCCCCTAGGCTGGGCCTGCTGGCTGGTTGCATGTGTGTGCAGCCCAACAAGCGTGCCTCTCATGCATGCGGGGTGCTGTTGGGCGTGCTAGCGCTGCTACCGCAAGCTCTTGCGAGCTAGCTAATGTTGTTGTGTTGCTTCCTTGCACAAACCCGCAACTGCGTGCCACACATATGCGGGCAGCTCGGTGTTGGGCATTACTAATGTCCTGCGTGTGCCTAGGCATGCTAGCATAGGTAGCCAATGCTAGTAGCTGCCAGCGAGGCACAGCGCGCTAGCTTGCGACTGGACTTGCTAGTAGTGCTAGCATGCTTGCTCGGCCAGCACCTGTGTAGGGCTGCTGGGTTTGCGGCCATGCTAGCGGTTATGGCTAGTGTTTCGGGGTTTTTTGAAGTCTTACGGGAGAGTTACAATTCCGGGACTGGTCTCCTTGCGCCTGTACCTGCAAAACAACGGAGACTCCTTGTAGTGGGAATTCCGCCTCCGACGGTCAAGTTAGTACTTGTTTGAGGAGTAATAAGTGCGGAAAAGTAAAGGTTGGGAGATTTGGTTCCTCTAGGGGAGGAGTGATCAGTGTGTTTAGGTTCTCTAGGTGAGAGTAATTAATTGCTGAATCCCCCTTTAATGAGGATTAATGAACCTATTTATATACCTTGGGATGTGTGCCAGTCCTAGGTTTAGGTCAACCTAGGGCTGATTGGGCTTCCACAAGACTTTGGGCCTAGGTGGCCGGTTTTCCCATTTGGCATGGGGGAGGCCACGTGTCATGGCATAAGAGGTCCAAGGTTGACTAGTAAACACTTGACACGTGGCAGGCTCTAATTGGTCCATGTGGCGGACACTTGGCAGAGCCTGGATGGTCCATTTGTCAGATGGTGATTGGTAGGGAAAAATCCCCTAATTATTTGCCCCTCACAGGTGGCATGTGACTGTTCACATGTCACTTGTGACAGGTGTCGGCCTGTAACAGGCGACGACCTGCTACAGGTGTCGCCCTATGACGGGCCGAGCATTTTTCCCGCTCATTTTTTGAATTCAGAAGTGACCCTTTGCATTCTCATTCTACCCTATATAAGGGCATGTTGACCAAGTCTTTTGTTCACATTTGCGAACTTTTTCAAGAGAACTCTCGGACCCCTGAACTTGAGCTCTGACTTTCTGGACGACTGCTTTTACCAACCGCCTGTTTTTGTTGGACGCCTGTTCGATCAAGCTTTCTTTCAGAACTTAAGTTTCAGGTAGCCGTCTGTTCCTTTATCCTTTCTCTGTTTCGCTTTTGCACTTTTTATTTCTTTTTTGAAAATGAGACCTCAAAAGAATCTGGCACGACCTAGGCTAACAATCAGCCGATCACCGGAAACGGCTGAGTGTAGGACTAGGGGTGCCTACTGCCCTGCGGTACTTCAAACTTTGCGCAAGTCCCGGAATCCAACTGTCTTTGTATCTATGCAGGACAGTATGGCAAGAACAAAAAAGAGACAGAGGATTGAAAACTTTGATGGCTCCTCTTTTCGGGTTCAGATTAGTGAACTGTCGGACCAGCCGCCTGATACCGTAGGGACCCAAGGTGGCCCTTCTGCTGAGAGCTCTGAGGAGGGAGCTAAGGTAGCCCCTTCCCACTTCACTGTTGACCTGGCCAGTCAGTAGACGACCCCTAGAGAAGAAGAGGGGTCGGCCCCCTCAGGGAGAGGGGAGGAGTCGGACTCTTCTGATAGCGAGTCTAACTCTAGCTCTTCAAGCCGCCTCTCTATAAACTCAGAGGAAAGGTATTCTCGTTTGCATGAGGCGAGACTGTCTCATGCAGCTGAAAAGGGGGACGACTGGTCGGAACCATCCGCCTTTCATAGGGGGTTGAATACTCCTTATTACTTTCATGTCCCAAAGGGCCGCATCAAGGCCATGAAAGAGAGAATAGACTCTTTTCTATCGGACCATGTGATGGGTCCTAATTTCCAAGTTTTTGTGTCGGATGCTGAAGATGTCGTCACCTGGCCAGCTGGAGCCAGCTATGGGGACGCCTGCTTTGGCTGTTATGAGGCGGCCATTAAGGCTGGTCTGCGATTTCCCTTGCATCCGGTCGTTCAACAAATCCTCGATGGATACGAGGTGGGGCTATGACAGTTAGCCCCGAATTCCTGGTTCAACATCCTTGGCTATGTAGCCGGGTGTGAAATGCATGGGGTGGAGCCGAATTTTGAGGCGTTCACCCATATGAATTACTTCAGCCGAACCCCCAAAGCAAGCGGTACCGGCTAGTATCAAATAACGAGCCACAAAGGCTATCTGATGACGAGGGGCAAAGAAAATAAATGGAAGGATTAGAGAAACACCTTCCTCATCATTGCCAGCCCTGACAAGCTGCTGAACAACTGCTAGAATAGGTGGAACAAGGATTCGCCTCTTCTAGCAGGCGGTCGCAGCATGCCGCTTGTCCCCCTCAAGGCTAGGGAAGAGATCCTTGATCGATAACTCTTCAAAGTAGAGATTAGGGCAAAATCTACTACTAGGGTACGAGAGCAAGTGCCCCTAAACTGCGTCTTAAAGTTTCAATGGCTCTATGACGAGTACTTTTTGGCCGCCTGTGGCTTTAGCAGTCGGTCCTCCAGAGGTAGCCGGCCTCTTGAGCATATGTACACATCTTTGGCCTTGCTTTCGAATTTTTTCCAACTCTTTGCAGTTTTATTTTCAGCTGAAGCTATGGACCACATTTCTGCGTCAAAGAAGGCGGCCGCCTTGATGCGGACCTCCATCATGCATCAGAAGCGGACCTCTTCTGATTCTCCTACCAAGGAGACGCCCATAGTGAGTTTCTGATCTTTCAAATTGTGCCTTGAAAGTCTGCTATTAGTAGTATTGACCATTCATCTTTTTTTCGCAGGCGGGCACTTCCAAATCCTCTTCCTCCCAACAACCGGACTCAAAAGTTTGGAAGATGACTGCTGGGAGTACGCCTGGATCTGCCAGGAAGCAGTCGGCTGACAAACAACCGATCACCCCACAAAGTGTGGGTAAACCATCACAAGTCCTTAGGGACAGTCGGCCGCCGAGAGGTATAATATAGCTTTGCTAGACTTAAACTTTTTCTTCAATGTTTTCTTCATTATTCTAACCTTTCCCTTCTTCGGATGCAGGCGGCCATCAAGAACCAGACTTGGTCGAGATGGCCAAGTCAATGATCAAGGCTATCCCTCTAGAGGAGAGGGATGCGGTCAAGGGAGTCGGCACCCTTGACTTAGACGGCATCATTGGCCTCCTATCTGAGGTATACTTAGAATTTTAAAATATCAACCTTGCCTGCCGCCTGTTATTTTCAAAACTGGCGCCTGTTTGGTTATTTTCAAGTTTGACGCCTGGTTTTCTCTTCTTTCGACCCTGCTGCTAGTACACGGCCTCCGTAGGCCAATTAGCGTCAAGAATAAAGAGGTAAAGGCTGCTAAAGCTATGTCCGCCTCTGATGTTGATAAGGTAATGTTTCAAATTGCCCAAAATGAAATTTTGACAACTGATATTCTTTATTATCAGGCGCAGGCCACTTCCACTATCCGCGCTGAGTTGGAGGCGGCCAACAAGAAGAACAACGAGTTGGAGCAGGCGTTCAAGAGCCTCAAAGATGAGCTGCGGCCCCTTAAAAACATTGCCCATAAGGCTGAAGGTCTGCAGACGTCTCTTGACACACTCAAGGAGCGCTTGGAGAAGCAGGATGCGGCCATCACCAAAGATCTTAATGTGAAGGTCGAGGCTGAAAAGATGGCTTTAGCTCAATCCATGATGGAGGACTCGGCTCAGATTATGAAGATGACCTGGACAGCCCTCTTCCCAAAAGCTCACTATGCCGCTTGGGAGAAAAAGTTCAACGCTTGTACTACAACGTACAACCAATAGATCATGAGGCAGCCGGCTGAGGAAGACGAGGCGGTTGACTCCAGCTTAGAGGAGGAAGAGGAGGTGGCCCTGCAACCGATTTAGGTGGATGCGCATAAAGCTCCTGCCCCTGAAGGCGAGTCGTCAAAAGAGGGGGCTTTGAAGAATCAAGCACCCGACGCTAAGCTCGACCAGGCGGCAGTTGAAACTCAAGCTCCTCCTAATGTTTAAAGCTTTCATTTTGTCAAACTTTTCTCCGGCCTGCGTGCCATTTGTTCTTGTATCACTTTACTCGGCCAGGGGGCCGGGGTTATTGAATATTTTGCTGGTCTTTATGGCCAGCTGTTTATATGAATTCAGCGACCATCTTTCGGTCGTCTTTTCTCACAGAATTTTGCTTTAAGCTTTATTTTTTCAAAGTATAGAGGATCCTACTATCCGCTTGTATGCCATACCGACTGTTTCGGCTAAAAATGTTTTATTTGTAACTTATCGTAAGCCAAAGATTACGAACAGGTACTAGGTATGCCCTTAGATGACTGGTTGCCTTAGTTCCAGGTTAGGCAATCAGTCGGCCATTTACCCAGTCGGACCCCCAACATATTTTAGAAAATAACTTAGGTTTGTTTAAATTTTTCAGTTAAGAAAGGAACAGGCCGCTTATAACCAGCCTGCTTGTTTGTTAAAATAGGAATAGTTCTTGAGTCCCTGTTTGCCAAAAAGCAGTCGACCTACGAACCAGATTTTCAAACATGTTTGGTTTGAAAAGAAATCATCTTAGTAAGGGTCGTGGTATGAGAGCTCTAGTTCGCCTTTAGACAGGCGGACTCGTCATACCTTTTTGGATCCTTACTAAGTATGAGAGAGTGACTTAGTCGTCAGCTTTTATGCTTAAGTAGGAGAGGTACCAGGCGGCGGAGGCCGGCTGATCCCCTTGATTCACCAATTTTTGTTGGCTATTTACTCAAGAGGTACCAACTGTATTTATCTCAAGTAATACAGACGGTCATCCGACGCGGATGTTAACTGCTAACACTTGATTGGTTTAGTGTTAGAGTTATCCTTGTCTCAAAAACGGCTACGTGGTTGTCCTTGGGGACAGTCGTCTAGGTGCCGTGTAATTAGTTTATAGAACAATGTTCCACCCAAAAGGGAGCTGCTCTCTGCGACGAATTTCATCTTGAGGGATGCCGCCGGATGCCTGCTATGATGTTGGGACAGGTCGTATTAGTTTAAAGATTGGATCAGTTGGCTAGGCGCCTAGTCTGATCATTCGGCCATAGGCCTTAGGTAGTTCATGGCGAAATAATTATAGTAGAGTAGCCGACTGTATAGCTATAAGAGGCGTGCCCCTCTTAATTGAATGCATATTTGAGTGAAATGGAGAGCAGCCGTCTGTTTTACCAGTTGGCATGCCCCTCAATTGATGAGAAGAGGGAGAGTAGCCGGCTGCTAATGGAGTAGGCGGCATGCCCCTCATAGTACAAAATAGATGAAGCAAAATAGCAAACTTTTATTAGTAGCTCTTGGCTATTTACATCATTCAAAAATAATACTTCTTTAGATTATCTACATTCCAGGTTCGAGGCAAGGGTTGGCCGTCTAGTGTTTCCAAGCAGTAGGTGTCGTCCCGGACCTCTTCATAGATTCGGTAGGGTCTATCCTAGTTGGGAGTTAATTTTCCTGACTCATTAGCCCTACCGATTGCTTCCATTTTTCTTAGTACAAAGTCCCCCACTTTGAGTGGACGCATGTGCACTCTTTTGTTATATGACCTTGCCATTCTCAGGAGGTTCATTTCATGGTGCAGGGCTACATTGCCCGTTTGTTCTGGAAGTGAGTCCAATGCCAGGCGCATGGACTCCCAGTTCGCCTATTCGTCATACAACATTATTTGAAGAGTCGGCTTGTAGTGTTCAATTGGAAGAACAGCTTCTGCCCCATAAGTTAGGAGGAATGGAGTTTCTCCAGTCGACCTTTTTTCAGTCTTCCTAATGGCCCAGAGAACATGTGGTAGTTCGTCTGCCCATAAGCCGCCTGCTCGTTCAATCTTCTTCTTAAGACCGTCTGAGATGATCTTATTGAAAGCTTCTACTTTGTCGTTTGCTTGAGGACGGTCGACTGATGCAAAGCAGTGTGAGATGCCTTGGTCTCCCAGCCAATTTTTTAGAACAGGCGTCTCAAATTGGGGACCATTATCAAAAACCATAGACATGGGCACCCCGAACCGAGTGATGACATTTTTCCAGATGAATGAGATCACATCCTTCGTCTTGATTCCCTTAACAGCCTCTGCCTCTACCCATTTGGTGAAGTAGTCGACTGCAACAAGTATATACTTCCTGCCGCCTGTAGCAGGCGTATAGGGACCTAGGATATCCATGCCCCACTTAGCAAACGGTAGTGGGCTATGGATGGCCGTGAGATCAGTAGCCGGACAGTGAATTAACTTGCCAAACCTTTGGCACTTGTCACATTTTTTCACCATCTCCATGGCGTCTGCTTCTAAGGTAGGCCAAAAGTAACCTTGCCGCCTTGCTCGTTGAGCAAGAAACCTGCCGCCTACATGCGAAGCACAATACCCTGAATGCAGGTCTTCTAGGACCTCTCGTCCTCTTTCTGGGGTCACACACTTTAAGAGGGGAAGAAGATAACCCTTCTTAAAGAGCTCACCCTTGCACATTTTGAAGCTGGCCGCCCGTTTTTTCAGCAGAGCCGCCTGGGAGTGATCATTCGGCAAGGTGCCTGATGTTGAATATGCTCGGATGTCGTCCCTCCAAGTTGAG